AAGTGAGCCGAGCGGAGCGGAAGTGAGCCGAGTCCCAGCATAGTGGTAGCCATGCAATGCAAGTCAACAGCGGTGACGTCACCAAGGGGTACCGCGGTTGCTAGGCAGCGCGGGTAAACAATGGTTGCGAGAGAAGACTGTAGTAACAGCGGTACACAGCGTGGCTAGCACGATGGCACCAGACATAGTGGTGCCTATTACGTGGCCGTTTTCTGTATTGTCCGATTGAGGCTACATAAGGAGCAGCGAAGGCTATTCACAGTTAGTTCTCAAGGCAGCTACCTACGAGTTAGTTCCGAGCAAGCCTAGGAGTCGGAGTGTGTAATTCAGGGAGATTTGTATAGCTCCCGCGTTATTAGTACGTGAAGACTTTGGTTGTAGGGTTTGTAAAGTGTGGAAACCCGCAACTGTGTTATAATTAATTGTAGCCGTTTCTTGTAGATTGTTGAATAAACCAACTAACGATCTCTACGGCGTATTCTGTAATGAAACACGTTACATTGGTGTCAGAAGTGGGATACAGACTTGAACACGCCTCGACAAATAATAAAATTATTGTGCATCGAGTATTTTACTGCTTCAAAATGGAGGAGCAAGATATGCAACAAATAATCGACATGCTGGCAAGAATGGACGCCGACATGAGGGCAAACCAAGCGAAAGCAGACGCCGACTCAAAAGCCTGGCGAGAAGAAATTTTGATGCAGAGACAAGAGCCATCCAAGAAAGGACGGCCGCCATGCGAGAGAAGAGGTTGCAAGCCAATATGGATGCTTGGCAGAAAGAGATGACGGCCTGGCGAGAAACGACGGAGGCGCATCTAGATAAAGAAGTAAAGACGATAGCCTACCACGAGATGGAGGTATGTGTAGAAGAGGAAAAGCCGGCCACAGCGGACACAAAACCTGCGGCGGCACGAGAAGAGGAGGTCCCCATAGTGATACCGGTTGGAGAGACGATGGCCTACCAAGAAATGGAGGCTCGTCCAGAAGATGGAAAGCCGGCTTCAGTGCACAGGAAACCTGAGGCGGCAGAACTACCAGAGGTACCCGTACAAGACGCCGAAGTAATGCCGGTCAGAGAACCGAAGAAGAAAAGGCACAGGGACCGCAATCGACGAAATAAGAAGAATCCGACATGGGAAAATTGCGGACCCCAGAATAAATTGGCCGTCGTCAGCAGGAAGGTGTCCTGCCGTGCAAGAGTGTCATGGCGCCGGAGAAACATCTTCAGGAAATCTTGGACCCGAGGGGATCATGAATCCCGGAAGAAGTTGGCTGCCCCCTGCAAGAAGACATCCCGTCACGCGAGAGTGGCACAACGTTGGAGAAATGCCTTCAAGAAGGAAACTCCCCAGGGAACCTTCAAGATGCCGGAAAGAGAACTTGGCGCCACGGTCTCGTGCCAGCAAGCAGCTGGAAGACCAGGAGGAACAACGAAGTCGGCAAGGACGAACAACGCATCAAGGGCTGTTACGTCGACATGAGGAACCTCCGAAGACAAACTTGATCAAGGACTGGACATTGTGGAGGGGTCAACCCCCTCCAAAACGAAAAAGACGCAGGGCACAGAAGAGGAGCCGGTAAAATAGAAGAACCGGCCTCCCCAGTGAGAGTGAATGTGCCATGGGAGAAAGTGATGGATGAATGGGACATAACTGGACCTTCTGGCGAGCTGAAAGGAAACCGATCAAGACGAGCTTTGTCTTAAGAGGGGAGCGGATGTAACGGACAAAGAATAGTCGCTGCAAAAAGAGTAGCCGAAACAACAGGAGACACTCCAAGCACAGATACGGGATGGAAAAGGAACAGGGGTGCACCGTTAGGCTATTTGAGACGAACAGCCTTAAGGTGGGAGCAGTGTGACATGTTGAGCTANATCAGGGAGAGGATTCACCATCAGAAGAATATATTGTGACATGTTGAGCTATGGATGACGCTCCTCCCCCCACCCCCCGCCAGCCGAAGTGAGCCGAGCGGAGCCGAAGTTGGTCGAGTCCCACCATCCTGGTAGCTATGCAACACAAGTCAACAGCGGTGACGTCACCAAGGAGTACCGCGGTTGCTAGGCAGCGCGGGTAAACAATGGTTGCGAGAGAAGACGGTAGTAACAGCGGTACACAGCGTGGCTAGCACGATGGCACCAGACATAGTGGTGCCTATTACGTGGCCGTTTTCTGTATTGTCCGATTGAGGCTACATAAGGAGCAGCGAAGGCTATTCACAGTTAGTTCTCAAGGCAGCTACCTATGAGTTAGTTCTGAGCAAGCCTATGAGTCGGAGTGTGTAATTCAGGGAGATTTGTATAGCTCCCACGTTATTAGTACGTGAAGACTTTGGTTGTAGGGTTTGTAAAGTGTGGAAACCCGCAACTGTGTTATAATTAATTGTAGCCGTTTCTTGTAGATTGTTGAATAAACCAATTAACGATATCTACGGCGTATTCTGTAATGAAACACGTTACAGTATGAAAGACTAAAACAGAAGAAACATTTATCAATTACAGTGGATGGTGCTAATAATCTTTTATAGTATTACTAGTGTGACGGACCAGGATGAACCAAGTGAAATGAATAACTTCTTTGGAATTAGATATCTATGACATAACGGAACCTGTACCACTATTTTCAATTTCCCACTGACTTCAGCAGGTTGTTCTCAAGTTTTCTACAAAATGATTTCATTTGTCCACGTTGCAGAGGTCCAAGAATTTCCCACAGATGTCACATTTTCTGTCCTTATTCATTAACACCTCAAGAATTCTAAAACAAACAACCAATGGATTTCATGTTTTATTACACTAATCCACCTAGTTGTAACTAAGCTACAATGTTTGTCAAGCTGCTGTTACATGTAATATTATACTCACTTCAGGCACTGCTGAAAGGCACACTATCTTTTTTGCTTCTGAGTCTACACTGAAGAACATAGCAGATGTTTCTGCAGACAATGCTTTTACTTGCTTCAGAGCCCTATCAAGCGCCTGAAAATTAAAAATCACTATTACTGTTTGCAGTTCTTCCTTCTGTAACAGTGAGGTACAGTCCAGAACACACTCCTTTCAATTCCAACCCTTACACAAATCATATCAGTAGGAAGAGAATCTAAAATTTCAAATTTTATAAATCTTGTATGATTTCTCTCAGCAAGTCATGGAAGCCTCTCATCCGCTCCCTCAAGAAACCTCCTGAGCATGATGCCAGATCTAAAAGGCTACGCAGGTCAATATCTGTTCGGCAGCTCTAGTCCTGAGGCTACGGGTTCAATGCTTGCTTGGTAGCCCTGGCTTTTACTTTCCTCTACCTGCTCGCCTGGCCTTCCTCTCATCTCCACTGACCCTGCCACTCTCCTCTATTGATTTCTCATGTGGCCCACTCCCCTCCATCCCTGTTCTTATAGAGCTGGGTGTTTTTGACTGGTGGCTCAGTCTGCTAGCCACCTGTTCACAGATTTTCCTACCCTGAAGATGCAGGCAATACATTCCTCAAAAACGTCAGTTCACACAAGATCTAAACGGCGACACATTCCAGAAGAAGGCATTCTTCTACGTCTTTACTAGCAAGAACTCAAAGCAAAGCAGCTGAAGAGAGGAAATAAAAGTTATTCCAGGAAAGAGTTCAGAGAACTCCTTAAATTAACCTGTCACTGATTTCCCTCCACTTCATCACGCATCATCATTCCATGAGCCAAAAAGGATTGCTAATAATACTTAATGGTTCTCTCAACTGATAATGAATATATGAATGTGATATTGCATAATAATTATAAACAGTATATTAGAAAGGATACAAAAAAACAGTACTAACATATGTTTCTGCTTATTATTCTAGCATGTGCAGGGAAGAACACTCAATGCTAAGACAAAAATCAGCTAGAAATGCTAATCTCCCAGTCCACATTCAAACCAGGGGCCCTCTGAATGTAACAGAGGACTACTTACCTCTATACTATGAAATTCAGTATAGTGCCATCAACTGTCATTAGTCCTGTATAAAATGTAAATTTAGACATAACTTCAATTGTCATCAGATGTGAGCTGCATGACTAGCATAGCTACAGATTTATTTATTTTTGAAATGAATATGAGCTCTGGTATACAAAGCATGGAAACTCTGAACTTTAATTTCTTTATACTGTTTTCCTGCTTGTATTCTAATATCATAGTTTTAAATAGCCAAAATGTAGACCTTATAATTAACACAATCATTACTTGGCGACTATATAGTGACTCCACCTACCAACTATTTTTGAATGACATAAACCTCCATCAATTTGTTTGGATAATTAGTTCTTTAAATAGTTGCCTGTGTGCATCTTGGTTGCTAATGATGAGTTATTATATAACTTCCAATACCATGTCGACAGAGTTCACTCTGTATAACCTTCTGTATATAACAGTCATGGGCATGCAGTAGTGCAGTTGGTTGAGACACTATGCTACATTTTAGAAGGCCACAGGCTTGTTTCCCGATAAGGTCGCTGGATTTTTCAATTGATGTAATCCTTTCAGCTGTGCTACAGGGCTGGGGTCGACCAGATATATTCCTGGAGGTAGCCAACTGTTTAGAAAATGTGTGACCCTCAACATCTCACAATGCTGTGGGCCTCCTCTACCTCTTACAGTGATAGCTTTAACTCTTACATAATAGTCAAGTGTTCAAAGAGAGATGTTAATTACACTGAATCAGCTCCTGTCATTATATTTATAGAATCTTGGCATGTCACATCCCTGTGGTCCAGTCCAGTCCAGTCCAGTCTTTTGCCACCTTCTTACCAATTATAAGAGGATGGCCATGGACACAGTTTTGCCATGTTTTATACATATATACATACACACACAGGGTGTCCCAGGAGGAATGGACCAAACTTCGGGAGGGTGTTCCTTATGTTAAAGTATGCCGATTTAACCCCAAACACCTATGTCCAAAGTTGAAGGGTTTCGGAGATAATGGCCCGAGAAAAGTGTGGTCTTCTGCCGGGTCCACGCACTGTACCTATCAGCTGTGTTCTCTTATCTGTTTGTCCTTGAGTGTTGTGATGGCAGCTCACGTTAACCCCATACACTCACATACCAGAACGCGCAGCCAGCCATATTACGTCAGCGCTTGCCAGTCATGTGTCATGTATAGTGCTTGGAAACCCTAAGGACAATTATGACATGGCGAGCGAGTATTTTGTACTTCAATTTTATGGCTTCACGTCACTCACAAGTTAGTTTGATGTTATGTACCCTATTAACATTACAAAATCCACATATTCCTGCCAGTTTTAATATGTATTTTGAAATCAACAAGTGTGTAACACCGGTCAAAGTTTGACAATTCTCTGGCCATTATCTCCGTAACCGTTCAACTTTGGACATAGGTGTTTTGGGTTATATCGGCATACTTTAACATAAGGAACACCCTCCCGAAATTTGGTCCATTCCTCCTGGGACACCCTGTATATAAAACGACAAAAGCATTATTCACTAATAGTTTTGAAAGTAGTTTGGATTCAGAAAACAGTAAGTGCTGTAAAACTGATAAAACTGATCAAGCTGAAGCTGATGTAACCTGTTTCAGAAAACAGATTGATAAACACATTCCTGCAGCAATGAATATGCACAAAACAATACAGTTACGGTTGGAAATGGGAGTCTTCTACTCGGTCCTTGCAAAGGTGTTATAAGGAAGACAAGTGGGGAACCCAGTTCAGTTGAGTCAGTTGAGTTCTGCAAGGGAGGCTGAGAAGAGATGGCACTATAGCTCAGGACAGTTCAGTTGTGGGATATTTGCTGGACAGTAACGATCTGAGCACAGAAGCTGAAGAATTTCCACTGTTGAGAGCTGTTACCAAGCAACAACTAATGAAGACACTGCAAGCTGGAGAAGACTTAGGGTGTAGTGACTGGTAAAGTGTGGAAATCAGCAACAGTTCTGTAATTACTTGTAGTTCTGAGGGGTGTGTATAAGTGGTCAATAAATTAATTGGAGACCACAGTAAGAAGCTATACTGCCACACTACTATGGAGATGGAACAAATGATGGCACACCAGCTGGCTGAAATAAGAAATCACAGAATGAATGACAGTATGGCTGGAAGCCAAAATAGGCGCCAGTCAAGGAAAGATGATGGCCAAGATAAATGCCTATCATGACAGGTTGATAGCCAGGACAGACTCCCAGCTATAGAAAACAGAGGCCATGGATTTGTAGGCATATCCTGAAGAAAACGATACCATGGTGGTGCATGAGGAAGTCCCTAAGGAAGAGGCTGAAGTGAAAACTGTTGGGGCACTGGAGAATCAGCATGGGGATCGGCATCTAGCCACAGGGTGCCACAGTCAGCCGAATAAAAAGACCAAGGGCAACCGTGAGACCCGGAAGAAATTGGCTGCTGTTTGAAGGATGACCTACCATGCACGAACAGCAAAAGATAAAGGATGTGGTCATAAAAGAGCAATGGTCAAACAGACAAAACGGAACATTCGGACCAGGGACAATGTTACAAGAGGAATCTCTAAAGAATGGACATTACGGAAGAGACATCAGGAGCAACCAGAATGTAACATTTGCACAGAGGACTGAGATACACTCCTGCAGCTATAACTGAGGAAGGAGACAACTGGCAACGCCATCAGAGGGGGAAGCAGGAGGCGGAAGCTATCTATGATTCCAACAGCAGGCATATTTCTCACCGAAATCTTGACAATTTGGGCAGTGACAGTGGCAGTTCTTTATTTATGGCAGTTGCTTGCTTACTTTGTCGAGGGCATGAAACTCGAGTCCCCGCTCCTGCTAGCTAATACTCATATGGACAAAACTACAGTGAAACCTGTTTAATGTGACCCCAGTGAGAGGCATCTTCCTGCCTTAAACCTCTAAAGTAACTTGGTTCCAAACTTTTCACATATCATTTAGCCATACTTTACCCTTGTAACATGTATTCCAATTTAAAAAGATTTCCTGCCTAGAAAGCACACAACACCCAAAATTTATATTTTACCCACTTAACAAGTTCTTTGGTGTGTATGTGTATGCATATTGTATGTATTTACTTCCAAAGTTTGACTTGCAGCTTCAATTTCCCATATTTCTGTTTCCCTCAGATGTGGCTCACTCTGCAGGGTCAACTATAAACAAATTTTACAGGGCAAGTCTTCCCCTTCTCTTAATATCTCATTAGCATTAATAAAGTGTGTGTGTTTGTGGGATAATCTTCCTCACTACCATACTAAAAATGACTCATTACCATCTTAAAAAGTGTATATGAAGTGTATTCATTTAAACAATGTTAAAATACCTATACTGGACTTGTAACTGATGAACTGCTATTATTACTAGGTACAGTAATCCACCATCGTTAGATTAATAGTGTACTAATAAACACCAAACACTCGGTAGTTTACTACAAATTGCTAAAAGCCTCACCTTTTTACTGGAATAAGCTTTCAGCTCTTGCACAATGACGAGTGCCTTCGGGTTACCAGCAAGGAGGGCCTTAACTTCTTCTAAAACATTAGCGGTAATTTCAGCTGTTCTGGCTTGATCCTTGTCAGTTAACTGCTTCCTCAGATGATTCAAATTTGTCCTCATTTCCTCCTATACATATTTAATAATAGTTACTCAGCTTTGATGAGAAGGTGAATAATCTGTCTCATATACATATAAAATAATATAAAAGTATCAAGAATCTTTAGAAATTCAGTGTGCCTAGAAAACTAGCTGATCCAATTAATATTCTACACAGTTTTATTACTTCAGACATAGCCCCAACATTCATAAATGTGAACTGAATTTAGCACTAACATGCATCAAGGTGGTATGAACTATGGTACATGCATTTAAATGAAAAAATGCAGCAATAATACACCTTCTTCCAGTACGGTATGGTTGCATGGGAGACATCATCTGTGAGTTTGACAATCTTTTCCTTAAGGTCCTCACTGCTGATTTCACTATGGCCACCGTTCAGCAACGAAATAAACTTGTTCAACTCTTTTTCAAGCAGCTCTGTCTTCTTTAAAGCCTTATAATTAGAAAAAATGTTCTTAGCAAGAAGTGTAACTGTACAGGAAATCTGCTTGATTTAGAACTGTTTCAGACAGAGCCAGTCACTTCACTGGCTCAATGGAGTGGTCACAGACTCAAACCCCTTACCAGCAATTTGAAAACATAAAGCATCTGGTTTATAACCCACTTCTGATAACTAGTACAGCCATCAGTAATCGAATATCCTTCTCCCTCCTGGCCATATTTAAGTTATGGCAATTGTAATGCCTTTCATGATATTCAACGTCTACAACAAAATAATTGCTGTAATAGCATTTCATGATACTGATTGGATTCTGTACATTAAATTCCAAATGGTCCAGATAAATGAAGTCTGATTCACTTACCTTTGAAGCTTCAGCTCCTGTGAGGGCCACAATTCTTCTGATACCCTTGGAAACTGCTTCTTCACTTGCAATAACAAATTTTCCAACATGGCCAGCATGATGTAAATGTCTAAATAAAGTAAAATCTTCATCAGAAACTAAAGAAGAGCAACCTCCATAAAGTTCAGAATGATACAAGAATCTAAGCATGAACATGCTGGATTTTGTACAAAATCAAACAGATGACATAACAATTCTTATGTATCAATATGCAGACCAAAGTCTGCTAGAATAACAAAAGGGATGAAAATTTGAACTCAAGGAAACTTTCCATACTAAATTTAATCCAAATCTGTGAGTGGTATTTGGCGGTCAAAGATAACACAAAAAATATTAAACCCATCGGGTTTTCATTTTATGCCATGCACAGAGAAAACCCAAAGTGCACTGATATCATGTAAATAAAGTATTATGTTACAACTGTCAACATGCAGTCTACCATAATAAAAATATCACCCAGGACTCATTCAGAAGTTTCTTGTTGTCAACTTCAGAATATGTAGCTAAGTAAGTGTATGTAGCAGAGCCCTTAAGAATCTGAGTGTCCCTCAACTGGTAAAGAAGTTCCTGCCGTTTACAGAACAAGAGTGCATGAAACCATAATATTTATACTAAACTTGTAACAACACGTAATTCTTGTCACTGATTAAACTGTAGGATTCCCAAATCATCAAATTTAAACTAGTACTACATATCTGTAACTGTCCAGTTTATGTGATGGTCAACTGATGTTTTGTGTATGGTTAGGGTTCTGTGAAATTCCTCACTTTCTTCTCACAATTTTAGATTCCACCCCTGAGACTTGCAGCAAGTGGCTTGGGTCAAGCTTGAAGCCAGCTGCCCATCCATAAATCAGTCAAGTTAATGCGTAACATAAGGCCAAGTTCTTTAGAAATTCTAAACTTGACAGGGGAAGTCATAATTTTAGCAGCGCCATTTCCTGCTACCCCAAATCTCAGTTTCACAGCCACGCAGCAGGTGGCAAAGTTCACCCCTAAACTGTACACTAGTGGATATTCGCTTTTCTAATTGGACGAGAAAGATAAGCAACCTACCAGTCTGCCTGGTCCAGCCAACCATCATCTGAAGTGGGAGGTTCTTTGCCCGAATTTTGGGTAACCAGGGCAAATATTTACCATTCAGAGGGTGCTTGGAAAAGAGGACCCTGAAATTTACATTCATCGGAGGTACGCGTGTTTTGATCCTCGTGAATACACCCTGTGGTGACTATTAACGTGTGTCTTAGTAAACAGTAAGGAAGCCACATCCACTAACCTGCGAAGTGTGTCACTACGGTGCAGTTACCATTTATATAGTGCTCACTGAATAAAAACTTAAACTGTTCATTGGTGTTGAGTGTGACTTTCCTGAGCCTAATGCCCCACTAATCACCCAAGTTGTGGCCAGTCAACAGGGCCTGAGAGGGGTCGAATTTCTCTACCGGAGCTAGTAGAACCAAAGAACGGTTACAGGGTAAAGTGGCGCCCAATGCGGGGGCCGATATCACGACAAGGGTGACTAGAGGCAGTTAGGAGCCAGTGGAAACAAATCAGTGGTTAAGTGCCAGCGCAAACACGTGAAGAAAGGTCAGCGGATCTACCTATGAATGCCACAGCAGCGCAGATGACGGCCACCACAGCTGTCAGGGACCACACCGAAGGGGCCAAGAGGAAGTACGGACAGAGTCGCAACCTAGCCTCCAGAGCGCGGAGGGCTGCCAAACACAACATCGAACACGCACCACCAAGGTTAGTCAAGTGACACACATGGCCAGCTGAACGCTTTGGAACCGGGTTATAGAAGTGGAGCGGGTTGATAGTGAGAACATGTCGGGGGTATTTTCTGCAGACCTGTCGTGTGACCAGGGGGATTGTGTTGAAATAGAGAGGTCAAGTGTAGTAGTAGAAAGTCTGGATGAATTAGGAGACGAGGTTAGGAACCCGATGGAAGTGATGATACAAGCCCAGAGTGAAAATATTGCAGTTGACTCCCCCGCTGTACTGAGTTATTTACGAGACTTATTCGTCAGCGTAATTGCATCGATGAAGACTGGGAACAAAGAACTGGCCAGTAAGTTAGAAGAGAAGTTAAGGGAGAGTAATAAGGAACTGCAGGGTAGAGTAGAGGAGAAACTAAGGGAGAGTAATGATCAGATGAGAGAGGAGATCCGGAGGGAGAACGAGAAACTGGTAGAGCAGTTTCGGTTAGAAAATCAAAAGCTCAGCCAAGAATTTTCAAAGAAACTTCAGGCTGAAACTTCTAAAGTGTCTCGCCAGGTTAAGCTACTACAGGGTGACACGGAAAGGGAATTACAAATGGTGAAGGAAAAGCTTCAGGGAATCAGTTTGGAGTTCGAGGCCCGGCTGGAACAGCAATCCTGGAGCAACCAGGAGCTGACTTGGTGAGCTCTCCAGCTAAGTTCTTGAGGTCAGGTCGGAGGTAGACTTAATTGGCAATCAGGTAATTCACCTGGCTAGTGATATAGAAGTAGTAAAGGGCGAACTGGTAAAACGTGCAGAAGACTTAGAAAAACGGCAGGGGGAGAGCACCGCACAGCTGAACAAAGTGGCAGAGACCGAAAAACTTCAGATCGAACGCAAGTTCGAGCTATTAAATTTCGAGATTGACAAACTGAAGGACAGGCTTGCCGGAGTGACTCCCATGACTTGTGGTACGGAAGTAACACAAATCCCCCTCCACCGCCCACTGCTAATATGGCTAGAATAGAAAATGTATCATGCGGCTGTAATTCAAGTTCATGTTCTGTGTGTGTGAATGGGGTTGCGATGTTTGAGAGTACTATAGAGCCTGTATGCCATCACTCAGCGAACAGTTATTTGAGTTGCGCTGACTTCCCGTTGTCTCAGTTTGACGATAGCTCGGAGGTTAACCCGATATTTCATCTAAATCAGCTGGATGAATTCATGAGACTCAGGAGCGTGCCTAAGCCCCTCATGCTAGCACTAGCCTTCAAATCTATAGTGGGGGCTGTAGGCAAACAGTGGGCAGCCACTGTAGCCCGAAACCAGCATTTTCTGGGAACTATTGGTCAAAGTTGAAGCAAAGCCTAGTCCGGTGCAGTTTGTACCAAGACAGGATCAATCCCAGGTCTTGTTTATCTCTGTCCAGCCATTTCCTAAAGTACGCAACCATGGCCTCTTATTTGGAACCCAGGCCCTCTGACACAGAAGTCAATGAGGCGGNCCCCGCTGCAGGGAACTCCTTGAACCCCCACGCTCCCACCTTCGCCGGCACCGATGGACAACGTCGCGCTGGGGACTTGGGAAACTAGAGCAGGGAGTTGTTGAGGACCGAATGACTCTCGCCAGTAAAAACAACGAACCGACAGGTCCACCTCACAGGCTAAGCGTTCAGGGCAAGACTGCAGTAAACGTTAGTGGACCAGAAATTTTCGATGGGGGAATCGAACCAGAGGCTATAGGGGAATTGATATTGTTCTTCATAAATGAGAATGACTTAGCTTGCTGCCCGCAAGTGAACATTTCGTTCGGGAACGGCATTTCAGCTATCACTCTTTTAGACACGGGGAGCGAGGCGAACATCTTGACCGAGAAGCTTTATGATCAGCTGATAGGGGCAGGGATAGCTGTGCCCACGCTGCCACTAGAAAACGTAGCACTAGTCATGGCATTTCGCAGGAGGACAAAGAGGATTAAGAAGCAGGGGCTCATAGAATTTTTTGTAGGCGAGGAAAAGTTTGAGGCTATTTTCTTAATATCTCCGCAGTTAATTAATTCGGCCATTTTAGGCTCATCATTCGCTAAGCAATATGGGATCACTATTGATTTTGTTACTAAATGCTTTTACTATGAGAGATGGAAATAGGAAGGGACATTCGTTCGATGAAAGTTCCGGGCCATTGGACGCCAGAAATGATGAGTGGGAGTCGAAGAGAGATCTTTCCCATAAATGTTTTGGTGTCACCCATGACCTGAAACCCCCAGCTGTAGACAATGACCCACTTCACCCAGCTGTTAAAACCAGCTGTGACGCAACCCAGACAGAAGCAGGTAGGAAGGGAAAGGAATGTTTTGTTGAGGAAGAAAGCTGTATTTTGAATTGTGCTACTGTGAATGGTAGTTATGTACGGCAGAGAACCCTGTTAAATGGCGCTGCGAGTGACCAAGAGATGGAGAAGCGTATGAAGAAGTGTGTCCAAGGGAGATTTATGGCAGCTTCGTTGAGAGCCCAAGCGAAGAAGAAACGGCTGTCCTTAAGGAAGTTAATGTAGGAAGAACAGAGAGTAACCTGCTACACCCCACCCCGATCCAAACATCAGAACTTGACCTCCATGACTCACGCTCGTTGAATAAGGCATATTTGTCTGCTCTGATCGACACGAATGACAATATGAATGAGTCCCAGAAAGAATGCTTGATAAGAGTTATAGAGTAGTCATATGAAGCGTTTCACCATCAGACCTGGCAGGTGTAACATTTTTTAGTATAAATTTCAGGTAGACGAAGACAAACCCATAGTAGGGTATTCTCGCCCCATCCCCTTTGCTATCCGCCCCACCGTTAGAGACCAGATCAGGCAAATGTTGCAGGATGGCATTTTAGAATTTAGCAATTCACCCTTCCTTAACCCTTTGTCCGTGGTTCATAAGGGAAATAAGAAAATTAGGATTTCTGTGGACGCAAGGAAGTTGAACCAGCATACCGTCCTGGATAGAGAGCGCACCCCACCTTTACAAGATTTGTTGCAAAAATTCGAAGGAGCGCAGTTCATGACTACCATAGATTTGACCTCTGCGTATTTACAAATTCCACTGCACAGAGACTCCCGGAAGTACACTGCATTCTTGTTCGATTCTACAGTGTACCAGTACACACGCACGCCGTATGGGTTCCCAAATTCACTATCCGATTTGTCAGAGCCCTGAAATTGGCCTTTGGTGGTGAGACTGATGAGTTCATTGTGTTTTACATGGACGATGTCTTGGTATTTTCCAGAAGTTTCGGGGAGCATCTCAGGCACTTGGATATTGTGCTAAATAAATTAGAGAGAACAAGCTTTACTTTGAATGCGGATAAATGCCGATTCTGCCAGAAGGAGATCAGATTTTTAGGGCATAGCACTGATAGGATGGGGGTATCAGCAGGCCCGGACAGAGTTGAGGTCATTCTGAAATATCCAGCACCGAGGAACGCGAAGCAGCTACAGCAATTTCTAGGGACCTGCAACTTCCACAGCCGCTTCATAGTCGGTTACGCTGAGTATGTAGCCCCCTTCTCCCATTGCTGAAGCAAGGGATTAAGTGGAGCTGGACCGACAAGATGAAGGGCGCCTTTGAGAAACTGTGCGCAAGCTTCACTAATAGTGTTCAGTTGGTTCACCCACGCCCTGATTTTCCGTACGCTATATACATGGATGCGAGCAAACTTGGCATTAGCTCGGTTCTTATGCAGGAAAGCGACTCCGGGGAAAAGCTGATAGTGTGCTGTCCCCCACTGAAAGGAAGTACTCCACCTGCGAGCAAGAATTGCTGGCTGTCGTGTATGCTTTGTAGAAATACAGAGTATATATTTTCGGGCACAAAGTCACTGTCTATTCCGACAATAAGATGCTGACGTTTTTTGAGGAAATGCAGCCTACCTCCAAAAGGGTCGCACGCTGGGTCATGCAGATCCAGGAGTACGACCTCCACATAGTGCACATAAAGGGTACCGATAATTTTTTCGCAGACGCTTTAAGCCGAAATCCAGTAGGCCTTACGGAGGAAGGACTGAACCAGCTAGTGAGACAAAAGGAAATACTCGTGTCGCCCATTAATTTGAATCTGGACCCTGACCTGAAGAAGGAACTGGGGAATTTGGCGAAACACCAACTCGAGAACCCAAAAATCAGCGAAATCATGCGAACCTTGAGGACAGGTATCCCCCCCAGGGCTGGTCAGTTCACGCTCAAGAATTAAGTTTTGTAGTAAGGATGACAAAACGTACCCGTACTGGAGGCCAGTACTACCAAGGGACCTAGAGTACCAGGTCATAAGTTACGTACATGCCTTATTGGTTCACCAAGGCACTGATAAGTGCATGCATCATCTGTCCTACTCGTTCTATATGAGGAAATTAGGTAGAAAGGTGCACCGGTACATTTCGCATTGTGACGTATGTCAGTGCGTGAAACATCCCAATCGAGCGTATGAGATCGAGACACGAACCCACTTACCCACGAAACCCGGGGAGCTGACGTCCTTGGACCTCTATGGTCCTCTGTCCACAGGGCGTGGCGGAGTCCAGTAGATTCTGGTGTGCTTGGAAATGTTTTCCAAGCATGTAGCCTTGTACGCCTTAAAATCGGCCACCACAAAGAGCTGCCTGAACAAGCTAAAATCACGCTACTTTCCAGAAGTCACCACTCCCCAATGCATACTCAGTGACGACGGTAGCCAGTTCACCAGCCCTTCTTGGAGAAAGGCCTTTCTGATCTAAATATTGATGTCAAATATTCCCCCATACGCCACACCGAGAGCAACCCAGCCAAACAGGTTATGCGAGAACTTAACAAACATTTTCAGATTTACTGCCATACAGCTCAGAAAAAGTGGCCAGAGCTGGTCCCCTACATCACGAAGTGGCTGAACACTTCAGTGAGTGGAACCACGGGCTATCCTCCCATTGAACTTATGTTCAATAAGCCCAGGCCAGATTTATTCAGGGAGATCCTGGATAAAACTCAGCTGCCAGAGGCGGAAACCCTCAAGTCTAAAACACTTAAGGTCTACACTCGCATGAAGCTGCGGGCTAACAACAGGAGGAACAAACATAAAACTGGGACTACAAAATGGAGGCCCCAGCTTAACGAGAAGGTGCTCATGCGGTGCCAACCTACTTCAGACGCAGCACAGGGCATCACTGGGAAATTCCAGCATCCCTTTGATGGTCCGTTTGTCGTAGGCAAATTTATACCCCCTAGTATGTACGAGGTCTCCGACGGCAAGAGAAAACTATGAGGAATGTTTAACTTGGGCCACCTTAAGCCTTACTTGGACAGTGTGGACTAGTGTTAGTATAATAGCATACTAGTCATGAGGGAAGTGATGATAAATTTGTAGTAAGAGTGAATTAATTCAGTTAAATTTCTTGGTATCAAGAGGTAGGGCAGTTAAATTGTCCGAAGTTGAGTAATTGTGTTGGGAAGAGTTGCTCAGTAATTGCTGCGCCGGGGTGATGGCTGTGTGAATACCAACTTTCTATGTAGGCCTGCGCGCCTTTGTATGGAAATACTTGTAAAAGGGATAACAGAGAAGGCTTGTAAACGTGTAACTTTCAATCGGTTTCGGCAAGGAGTGAATGAGGAAAGGCAGGAGAAAGTTTGAACTCATAGGTCTGAAAGAGAATGGGCAAGAGAGAATTAAGCTTACACTCGCCTAAATTCTAATGATAGGAACAAACCATTGTTATGGCCAGCGTGCTACAGAAAAATATTACATACTTGTATGGGTATGTTAGGACAATGAGAATGTTAGCCTGTACGAACAAAACTGTAGGAGAGGAGTTGCCAGCTAAGTGTAAGACCTGGTAGTGAGAAACGAGCTGTAAATCCGAGGTGACAAAGCTACTTAGGGAGTGAGGTATTGTCCAGTGAGGCCCATAAATGTGGCAATGTGCGAGTGAACCAGAAGTGGACTTCAAGAAAGTAGTCAGAACAATGGTAGCGACATGAGCAACAACAGGACTGGAAAGGGTAGAAACTAGAAGTGAGCCAATAAACAATTTTAGTTGTAAGATGTAAGTTTCGAAAGTCTGAGAAAATGTATTGGAGTCAGAGAAAGAGACAACAAGGGACTTTGTATTGTCAGCCCACATAAGTATTGTCCCAATGATTGCGTGAACTTTCATTTCTGTTGTTTTAGGATTTACTGAATGGTACTGTTTAGAGGATGGGGGCGAAAGCCACCTGAATTTTCAGATGTGTTGTACATGGTAAGCCTCTCGCTATTGCTGCCAGTGGTGGACCATACGATCAATTAAGGTACTGTCTATTTACATTTAGTTTTCTTTTTTTTTTTTTTTTTGTTTAAGCATTTGTGTGTGGAAATGGAGGAGAAACGGCAGTAAGACGAAATGTTGACTTATTCAGGCTGCACCAGAATAGTCATTCTTTCGCTTGGGAGGTTGTAACTGTCCAGTTTATGTGATGGTCAATTGATTTTTTGTGTATGGTTAGGGTTCTGTGAAATTCCTCACTTTCTTCTCACAATTTTAGATTCCACCCCTGAGACTCGCAGCAAGTGGCTTGGGTCAAGCTTGAAGCCAGCTGCCCATCCGTAAATCAGTCAAGTTAATGCGTAACACAAGGCCGAGTTCTTTAGAAATTCTAAACTTGACAGGGGAAGTCATAATTTTAGCAGCGTCATTTCCTGCTACCCCAAATCTCAGTTTGACATCCACGCAGCAGGTGGCAAAGTTCACCCCTAAACTGTACACTAGTGGATATTCGCTTTTCTAATTGGACGAGAAAGATAAGCAACCTACCAGTCTGCCCAGTCCAGCCAACCATCATCTGAAGTGGGAGGTTCTTTGCCCGAATTTTGGGTAACCAGGGCAAATATTTACCATTCAGAGGGTGCTTGGAAAAGAGGACCCTGAAATTTACATTCATCGGAGGTACGCGTGTTTTGATCCTCGTGAATACACCCTGTGGTGACTATTAACGTGTGTGTCTTAGTAAGCAGTAAGGAGGCCTATGTCCACAAATCTGCGAAGTGTGTCACTACGGTGCAGTTATCATTTATATAGTGCTGACTGAATAAAAACTTGAAACTGTTCATTGGTGTTGAGTGTGACTTTCCTGAGCCTAATGCCCCACTAATCATCCAAGTCGTGGCCAGTCAACACGGCCTGAGAGGAGTCGAATTTCTCTACCGGAGCTAGTAGAACCAAAGAACGGTTACATATCTCACTCCCGTCCCACAACAAAATTCAACTGAAGTAGTATTGCCTGCTGGTCCACAAGGGTCCTCTTCCAACTTTTCAACGCGGATTCCTATAGACACCACTCTGACAGGATCCGGATAGGTCTCTTGAAATACTGCACGGACGCCTTGGATTGTTTTTGCAACAGCCAAGCTAGCTTCTTTAGCATATACAGGTTCATTTTTATCTATCACAGCATTGGAATGAACTTCTGTAGCCTTTACTTGCTCAACAGACATTGCACCCTATCAAAAATCAATACACAAAAGTAAAAATCTTTTAAATATTACTTTATGACAAATATGTAACAATATTCTCTTACAGTAACCATTTCTCTCTTTTGCAAAGATGTACACATGAGAAAAAAATCACATAACTGAAGGAACATATCTGTCATTATGTTCAAAATCTTTCACACATTCATGCAAATGAAGAAACAATACACCTCCATCTAGAGCAATTACATCTGAAATATGGAAAAGATTTTTCTCATATGTCAGTTAAACACTTTAATACAGAAAAATGTTAAAACTGGATTTAACAAATGTACAAAATCCATACTTTACATAAGGGACTGAAGATGGGACCTGACTAATACTTAACCAACTGACATGACTGATAGCCTGAAAAGATTTTATCAACTTTAGTTACACTGAAAGCTTCAGATCTCACACCATACTTTATAACTTGAACACAAAGAATACAAAATCAAGTACAGTTTTATCAGTTAACCAAAAAAGAGTTTGAAATTGGAATATACCCAACATAGTAATCAGAGCATAAAACACATTTCATCCCTTCACAGTTATAGGCACTGAAGCACAAAGGGGGGAAAAAAACAGGTTACTGGTAGGTGAGATGAAGTTAATAGAAACAAATTGGAATGACTCAATGATTTACATATACCATGCTCATGTAATTTTCTTCAAAACCTGTTCATAAGTGAGAACTGTAACTACTGCGACATCCAAGACTGCAGTGAATTAGATATGCAGGAAAGTAAGTGAGAGCTATGGAAGGCTCAGAGGGAAGGGAAGAGGTATGGTAGCCCACAACCAGCAGAAGAGGGAAGAAATCCTAAGAGGAGTAATTCTGGTTTTTAAGGTAATAATATTAAACAAGGCAAATGAATCAGAAACTGTGCACCTATATGAAACTGTTACAGTACAGATGTAAAGTTACAAGATGATATTAGAATAAAAAAAATTGTCACACTTTTCACCTTTATCATTTTGAAATGTCAAATTGTTGTTAAGTCATTACAAATTTGTGTGAACACAGTGTATCAACAATAAGTGGATGACATGATGATAAGACTTTATATATTGCTTTCCTATTCACATCCAACATCTCACACTTTACACAATGATAGCAAGACAATTTACAAGCTCATGTTGTAAACACCATTTACATACCTTCTTTTGGAAGTCAAAACGTATTCTGTCAGGTGTTGCAAGGAAACCTTTCTGATCTGCCTCTGTCCCCAACACAGCTCGCAAAGCAAAATTCAACACATGAGCTCCTGTGTGGCTGTTCATCACTAGGCGTCTCCGAGGTGTGTCGAGGTGTAATGATACCTCATCTCCTTCACAAAGTATCCCTTCTACTGTACCAATATGTAGCACATATCCTCCTGTGATCTGTACATTCTTTACAGAGAATTCTACATTCTGCAGAAAGAAAACAACATTAAGCATAGCAATACATGAAATGCTTAAAGACTGATTGTTTCTCCCAACTTCCCATATGACCTTAAAATAATGGCAGATATTACATCTGGAAGATGAAGAAAATTCATTGTCCTATGTTATATGGTTATCATGGTGGCTTCACTGTCTTCAACCATTGAAACACTGGGATCAATGGTTCGAATCCCACTCATTACATGAATCTATGTCTGCATTACTTTTGAGTCTGTGTTATCCAGTGTATGTATAGGCCTTGCCAATAGGCTGATACCCTGTCCAGCTCTCCAGGAGTCCTATCAAATTTCTAAGAAGGAATCACAGTTTCACAAGTTAACTCTAAATGGGAACAACCTTCAGGGCCTAATTCATAAAAATTTACGATTTGTGGTTACTCTTTTCAAAGTATACAAGTTATATACAGTGAGATTATCTGTGAGACAACTGAAAATTGTTCAGCTGGTATGGCAGGGGGGCCATATGCTACTCGCTTTAACTCACAATATGCATATAAGGACTCATAGTGTAGTTAACAGGACAATAGCAATTTTAATTTATCTTCAATACCGCCCAGTAAATCTTTTAACAGCTATCATGAAGCAAGCTTATGCAATATGTACCCAGTGACCATTACTCCAAGCCCTATTATATTAAACATTCAATCCGTCTAATTTCCTGTGTTGTACTGCCACATGAGATACACACTAAAACAAGAGTTCACATAGGATACCCATGTGAAAAGTAGGATGGATGTCACAATTACACAAAGCAAGACTATTCATACAATCATAAATAAATTTAGACAGACAGGGCCATATGTGAAGAAAAATGAAAACCAAATTAAAATGCTGAGTGCTCACAGAAGAGAAATAAGATGGAATCAATGCTAGGCTTGAACATTCTCATCAAAAATCCCTTAATCCCTTGAGTGCTAACGTCCCTGTGGATAGATACGCGAAAAGTGCTATGCTATTTAAATGCCATTTATGTAATATTACATGCATACTGATAATAAATTCTACTCACCCCATTTTTGGAGTCAGGAAACTGGAAAAATTCCTTTGTTGTTGTCAGATGAATGTATATTGTTATTCTGGAACGATTTTGTTTCTATCACAGCACATTATGAAAATAAAAAAATATTTTTGATACTTTTTCTTAGAAAGAAAATGAAACCTTGACGTTCAAGAATAATATCAAAATCAAATAATTGAAAAAAAAAAAAATAGCAATCTATTGCTGTTTTCTGATAGCTCTATTCATTTTATATATGATGTTAAAATTTGAAAATTAAACACCAAATAGTTTATTCATTGTATCAAAATTTTTAAAACACTGCACTTCACGCTCTCTCTCTCTCTCTGCATGTAGAATCAGTGAAACAGCATAAGTGAACTATGTACCACGGGTACACTTATGTTCAGGGAAGCATTCACCATGAAGGCCCTTCTCACACTTTGCACATATTGTGCGAGATCTTCTCTGCCCTTTCCCGAGGCTTGTCCTTCTGTTGCAAACATAGCAATCCTTTTGTGTACCTGGGGGCAACTTTCTCAAAAATTTCTCCTTATTTTCCCCTCCATCTGATGGTCCAGCTGTAGGTACATTTGTTCTCTCCTGCATCCATTCTTCACCTAGAGATTCTATAATTTTGATGTAGAAATCAAGCCGAGACATTGGTTTCAAACCAGCTGGAATATTTTCGTTATGATGTATGTACAAATTGAGTACCATTCGAGAAAAAATGTTGAAGCCCACTTTCTTCCAGTATTTTGCCATACAACGTTCATCGATGTACGAATACAACATCATGTCTGAAGTAACAATACCACCCATGAATTTGTTGTAGGACTGGATAATATGGGGGGTATTCACAGTTCTTTGATTACCACAACGAACTTGGGTGTATTCTCTTTCAGTAGCTTGACCATAGGTGGAAAGGTGTAAAACTGGGAAACGTTGAGATTTTTTTCACGGTATCCTACAGACAGAATTGGGCCACTGCGGAAATACTGTGTTTGACGGACCTGAAATTTATTTCCGAATGCTGCAGGCAACCATTTTCTGTTTCTTCTAACTGTGCCTGTTATGAAAGCCTGGAGTTCGTGAAGTTCTTTTACAAGTGGGATGCTCGTAAAAGAATTGTCCATGAAAATGTGTTAGCCTTTACAGAGATAATTTCCCATATTCAAAAGTTTCATTACTACCGTGTAAGCTAATCCACATTTTTTTCTATCTGATATTTTTTCATCATTCTTGGGCCCCGATATACAAAAAAAAGCTACACAATACTTTGACACTGAGTCACATAACATCCAAAATTTTATTCCCCAACAGTGATGGTGTTTATTAGGCAAATACTGCATCAATTGTGTATGATTTTTGGTGCCAACTAAACTTTCGTCAACACTAAGTTGTTGGTGTGGCACATAATGGTTATGGAAAAGTGTATCTGCGTGGTCAATCAAAGGTTGGAATTTAGCGCAAGGGTCATATCCGGGTTGTCTAGGGCCTGCCAAGTTCTTATTATCCACCAGATGGAAAAATTTCAGGATGAGCTGCAAACGGTCGAGAGAAAACATATTACAGAACCAAGGAACATTTTGGCTTGGGCTTGAAGACCAATATGAAGAAATGGTTGGCTGTCTTTCAATTCCCATATTAAGAAGGCAGGCAATGAAACCTTCCAATTCTGTGACTGTAATGTCCTTTCATTTTAGTACCCAGGAGTGAGGAAAAATATTTTTATGGGTCTGGAGGAAACTTCTTGCATAATTATTTGTTTGGGTAAGTACGGAATTTAGCAGTGATATGGTGAAAAATTGATAAAAATACTGAAGTGGTGTCATAGGTGTGGATGGGATATGTTTTGGTCCTTGCATTTCATTATAACAGAAAGGGATTTCTGGTCGAATATCACTGTCCTCAGCAACCTCCTCCCAGTCACACATGTAGTCAGGAAGGCTTTCCACAGTGCCATCAAGGTCACTGTCACTTGTTTCACTGATGTGGGCAGGTGAAGTGTGCCTCCGTTTTGGCTGAGGGCTGGGTGTTCATGGAACAAAATCACTCTCGCTGGTGTTGAAAGAGATGTCGTCACTATTAGACAACTCAACATCACTAACATCTTCTTCCAAAAAACCAGAGATCTCATCATCTCTCACATGTCTCTTAGCCATTGTAAATGAGAAAACACACGCACAATGAACACACAGTATGTCACCCAGAAAATGCGGAGAAACTTACTGCAAATTTGTTGCGATAGAATCATCTCGAGGGTCTCGAGACTGGAACAGAATCGAAACTGAAGCTTCATTCTTCAAGATGAAGTGAATACAAGTACCATCTGTAGGCCAATAGGTACAAATACAATGAAATAAAAACCTTCTTCAGAGGCTCATTGCCCTATCCTGTGATCAATTGGGGAAAAAATCGTAGAAAGTAGATTTTTAAGGCAACTGACATCACACTCGAGATTCTTGGACTTTAAACATCAATCTACACGGTGGTATATAATGCTACGACATCTGAAGTCACAGAAAGAAATTACAAGTGTTTAGAAACTGCTAGACACCATGGCCTACAGAGTGGCTGCGCCGCATTCATCGCATATACCAGCGCGGCCTATGCACAGGTGACAAGACTTTAAAGTTTCATGTTTCAAGTTTCCTCTGTTTCTATAAAGGAATAAAATATGAGAATCTGAATATTTTACAGATGTGCCAGGATTGTATATGTAATAACAGGGATCATTTCTGGTATCTGCTGTGAGATGTATGGGTTTTGTTTGTGATCTGTTAGCCTACTGGCTTGTTGACTGCATGACACACTCAGTCAGAGGGAGAAAAAGTTGACACAAGTACTTTCTGTCTCTTCTGCTGAACCGGACAAACAGTCTCTGGAAATCTCTCAAAGAACCTGCCTGCATTACTAGCATACCTGCAGAAACAATTTGTTGCTTGGGATGGTTACTTAGATTAAATATTGTGCTGAAACATATGTACCTTTTGTAACCTTCAAAATATAATTGCTGTGGGGCATGCCATATAAAGAAAACTGTATTCCTGCACCAGAATGGCCTGTCTATGGAAATCATGCAAACAAAACTGCAGTTCACTATTCATAACCACTCAAACAAGTTATGTTAGAACACATAAAATGAAACTAAATCATACTTTTAAACACCACCAGGAAAATTTTATGAGGCACAATAATCTAGAACATAAATTTTGGGCAGGCCTCTCTATCTATGCACATTNCTTGGAATGCCACAGTTTTAACACCTTGGCAATACAAACATCAAACTCTAAAAGGATAAAAAAGTAAAGTTATTAAGATTCTGCAAACGAATAAATCTTGAACCTCGACAAATAAGACATTTAAAAATCACTCATGTATCCATGACTACTTGCATTTACTTAACTTTTAACGTCTGAAGTGGCCCAATTGGGCCAGTGATGAGTATGGTCGTCGTGGCGAAAGTACCCTGATTTGGGCAGCTGGGCATTTAAACTCCGCTAGCGGAAGAGCGCACAACCTCCACTACTAGAAGCGCATGCACAATCTTATATATTTAGTTTTAAATAGATTAAAATATACAGGCTTCAAGCCCTGTGTCATGTAACTGAATCTCACATTTGTGTAATACTCCTTGAAGCACCTCAGAAAGCACAGTCCCATGCCACATATATTGCACTGCATTTTAATTTCGTCATGTTCCAAACAACTTTTCATTACCACTGTATGATAAAATGGAACTACAATATTCAAATTCACTGTGAACTCACAGAAAACTGAATGCACTCTGCATCACAGCTGTGACACAAGTGTTCGTTGGCAGCCATAGAAAGGGCAATATTCTCTTGCAGCTGCAATGGCAGGGCTTGGCACTGAATTAAGGAACACTGAATATACCTTGTAGCCTTTCCATAAAGGCCATGTTTTCACTTTTCTCTTTAGTCAAAAGACTGGGATAGGATGGGTGTAACAAAGACCTGAAACTTCTTAGCAGAGAACCAAATGACTTTATTGCTTCCAGCTGTTTTATGGCACCAGAGAATGGGAAAATATTTCAAGTGTTACAAGCAGGAGTGATTTTATAATGCAAGGCTACTATGTGAAAAAGTGGGAAACTATTTTTACAGTTTGCATCAAAATTACAAGAAAAAAAATTAAAAAGCAGTTAAGCATCTGTTATAGTATTTGTAACTGTACACTGCATTTCCAACATGTACAGAGCTTTCTTTAATTTTTATTGGCTCAAAATGCTTTGGTTGGATAAATAAACTCAAAAATTTTCTTAATTTAAATCTATTTTTTTTAGTTGCTTTCTTATAAATAAAATCTAAAAGTTTATGACGAAGACATATTAAATACAAATATTATATTTCTGAACGTTATCCACTGTCCTGCTTTTCTTTAAAATACCATCCTGTTTTCACTTAAACCACAACATTTCAGAGACTGGATTCTGTCTCTGTGTTAAGGTATAACCTACTGTTGGGCCCAATCAATAGAGATGGTCCATACCTCCAAAACATGTTTCAACTAAAAACAGGACAATGAATAATGTCCAGAAACGTAATATTTGCTTTCTTACACCA